TGTTTTTTTATTAGCTCTAGTTATATGTATTTCCTCTGGTTTCGTTTTTGAACCACATGATCCAACTGACTTGCATCAGGTACCTACTCTATGCTACGTCACTAGACGGTGAAATACAGACTCGATCGCGCAGCCTATGTCTTTCATTTCATAGGGGTTATCTGTCCCTTCTTCATGGAAATCTGATGGAACGAAGCACGTTTTTGCAAAGGAAATCTGCATTTAAATTGATTTTTAGATCATTTTCTTGGACAAACTGCATGTTTTGGCATCTGTCACACCGGATTCATGACCAGAGACAAACTCTCCTCTTTTCTTGCGAAAGAGGCATTGTAAACGCCTTTAAAACACGTTCTAGAAGAGAACTCTCATGTCACTTGTTTCAGTGACTTTTATTTGAACTGTTTAAGATTATGTGTGAATCCTTTTAGCTCGACTACAATTGGATAAATAACTCTTGAGGATAGGACCCGACGTCTCATTCCACCGTTCATTTCGCATTTAGCAGGATCTAGGCAAATAGTGAGTACAGTGTGTATAATATGTATCAATTTTTATTCGTTACCTCTAGATTGTGTTGAACCTAGCAATTTCCACTATATAAGCTAATTGGACAAGAGTTACATACACTCCATGTATATATTGCAGAAACCCTTATCCTTAGTATTATATCATAGACACTTTGACTTAATGTTATTAGTATTTTGAGAATGATGAGAAGGTGAACATAATCCACATTAGCATGTCAGAAGTTTCTATACCTTGGTAAGGATAAAGCATTTTGGCTCTGGTAACGCATGAAATTTCATCTTGTTCGAAGCGGTTCCCCCCCAAAACTCCGGTAGGAAAGTGTACTTTGCATTTAATGAACCTAAAAATGGTCTTTCCGTTATAATAATAATAATAATGACATCGTTTTACTTACCCAGTGAAGCCATTTCAGTTATGAAACTGCTCTTCCAGCGGGCCCTGCATAACATAATGTGTTATTACTACCCTTCTCCAATCTAATATGCTGAGCGCCTAGCTAGAAGGCAGAAGGTCCCATTGTTATAATTCTTAGGTATGACCCGGCCAGGGTTCGAACCCACGACCTCCCGTTCATGAGGCGGGCGCTCTAACCACTGAGCCACCATGCCCGGATGTAAGCTTTGTTTATGTTGTTGTTGATGAACATGGTGATGTTTCGTGATTATCATGTCGTTAGAGAACGATTTCAAAATTCCGGCAATGTTGGGCGGTTTGCATAAACTTTAAAGCCCAATGTACCATGATGATGCATGATAGGTGTATTCCCAGCTTCGGAAGGGAGAAGGAATCATTTCTGATGTTTTTTAAATTTAATGTCATGTTTAGGTACTAAAGGTCAAGTAAGGATCGGAATAGTTATCATGAAATATTAACAATGGTTACTGTTAAATCTAAAAACATTTGAATTCATTCGTTCATTCATTTATTTATTATATGTTCCATATACAGGATGGTTACTTTAGTAAATAAAAACAACTTTGCCATTTATCCTGTCCGAAATTAATATTTGTATATAATTAGGGGTAAGAATATTGATCATTGCATTGCCTTGTTTCCGTTCGCGTTCTGAATTCTTATTGCAATGACGATGATCGACGTCAATGGCGTGTTTCTTTTCCTTCTTGGCCTGAAATCTTATTTGTTTTGCACGCAGTGCTTGTAACCGCTATCTAGGTACCTTCCTGCTGCCCGATTCCTTTCAAATATTGTAGGCGTTATTTCCCATATCAAACCAAGGTCACCCTATTCTTCGTTTTACAACATCACTCTTGCGTGACCTTCCAGGCATAACTTTTTCAGTTTCTGGGCCGATAGTCTCATTTTCGCTGGCTGGAAGTGCTGCAGCACAAATGTAGCTCGCTCAACGTCACAACAAAACTAGCCAATCAGCTATCAATGACGTAATATTGCATGCGGCGGCGAATATATGTCGTGAAATTATCGCGAAAAGTATTATTTCTACTTGAAAACTAGTTTTCATTTTGGATGAAAACGCAGCCATCGTGATCCATAAATGCAATGAAGTCATCAGAATAGAATAAGTTACGTCTGAAATTTTTCACGAGGTGCATGTTGCAGATAAATTCTAAATTTCGTAGATCTTTTTCCTTTCCAATCATATTCTCTAAATATCAACAAATGAAAGTGTAAAGTCTCAATTAAACAAATATGAGGGGAAAACTTTAACAGGATTGCGGCAAAAATCGCTAGTATATTCTACCCTCCCCATTCCAGACGGTTATTTATGTCTAATTTACACCTAGCTAGCCCTATTCTAGGTCACCATAATCACAAATATTTGTGACATTTGGTTGCTACCTGTCCTGTTAAGTGTTAGTTGCCCGAAAGCAGGAAAGGGCAAGCAATGAACCAACAGTTTCGGTTAGTGTACCCGAAGATGAAAAGTAGACAATAGCATTCAAGTTGACTTCGGTGTAACGATATCATTGTGAAGCGCTTCAGGAGGCATTCGTGAGTTAAAAGGTAACTTATCCCTTCCCCCTAATATAATTCCGAGGAATAAGAGAGTCACTGGTTTTGTCAATTGTGCCAGTATTTTTATCGTTTCGGCATTCTAAAAAATCTGACCCTTGTGTGTACTGATATATATTCTGTGACTCGTACATAAATCTTGCATTTAAATCCAATAAAAAACACATAAATATTTCGAGAGAGCCGCAATCTTTTCTTTTTTATTCCTCTTCTTCATGGGAATTTTGTTAATTCTTTTTCGTGCATCTTGGTATTTCATGAGTTGCATATTTCTTTATTTCTTAAAGTTTTATTAAATTGGGTTTTGAATCATAGAGAGGTAACGACCATGCACAACACAGCACACCCTGGGCATCCGGCTGGTGGATGTAGTGACTGGAAGCACTGAGGGCGGATCCAGCCGGCGGCAGGGGAGGGGCCAAAGAGGGGGCCCAATTCGTGAGAAAATATTTAGCGGCGAAACAGCCAGCCGTTGAATAAGCGGGGGCTGTGGGGTGGGAGTGGGGGGGGGGGGGGGGGGGGGGCTATGTTACTGCATGTGCACTTGTTGGGTATTTTTCTCGGACCATCCTGTTGAACTCTTCCCCTTGCAGCTATCCTATTGTTTTTGATTGGTTAAGGGGATGGTTGAGTTCTGTTTTCAGATCGCAAATGCCTTCAAAGTGCATGGTTATTGCTCTTATTCTTATCTATGTCATTTTTAGTGCCCTTTTAGAACATAAAATTGCTATGAAGGTAATTTTAGACCACCAACTGTGTGATATTTAGCCAATACGGTCATACCAATTCAGCTCCACTTTCGGAAAAATACGGTGACCGTTAATTAATTATTTAATGACAAAAAAAAACAATACATGGGCTGTGCGTTAGAAAACCAACACGAAAATGCCAACAAAAAAGCCAACATCGGCATTGGCTGAAATACGACGTAAAAGGCGCTATTTTGTTTTTTCAACGTTTTTTTTTTCAAATTATCTAATATTTGTGGTGGTACTAGAAATCGGTATTAGAAATCGTTATATTTATGGATATTTCAGCCGTCTCTGAACCGATTTTGTCATTTAAGTTGTATGTTCTTTCAAATTTGACACTCATTTCTTCATTATCTCACAAACAAATTACTTCGTGTAGCGCCCTCTGCAACAGAACTCAACTATCCCTTTAATGTATATATATTGTTTTGAGCCTTCCATGCTAAGAGGTATACGATGACATCATCAATAATAATGATTACAGTGTACTAGATATATAATGATAACAATAATAATAATAATAGAAATAATAATAATAATAATAATAATAATAATAATAATAATAATAATAATACAAATAATAATAATGATAATAATAATAATAGTAATACTACTACTACTACTACTACTACTAATAATAATGATAATAATAATAGTAATAGGCAGCATACATCTCATTCAAAAACGCGGCTGACATAACTTTCCTGATATACATTTAAAAAAGACGAGTACTCGGCCAAAGTAAAAGGCGGTAAACTAAAAAAAGAGGAGGGTTTCATTTACACCACCCACCCATTCTGCTCCGCCACGCACTCCGCGATTTGGCCCTGATCTGAAACCCTTATCTCAAGCTTTGTTCTTTATACTCTGTGCATACATGTACATGTATATACACATTAGCGCGTTGTCGATCTTGTCGGGTTGTGAAGGGAAGCTATATCTGTTCTGTGCATTTGCTGAGTAATTTATAGGCCTTATTTTACTATCAAGTATTTAATATGTATTACTATTTGATATAATAATCATTATTGTTATTTTACGATTATGCATTATTATTATTATATTTAGCCTTAATTGTTAGTTAGTTATTAATGTCATTAGAAAATATCAAAAGTATAATTGTTATCATGATTGTTTTTGTTCACGTTATGAATTCATATTTCATTGACGACTTTTTGTCAATGCATTTTTCTCGTTAGCGTTCTGAATTGCACGCAATGCTTGTTATCCAAATATAGGTTCTTTCCTCCTGAGCGATTCCTTTCAAACTTAGTAGGCGTAATACCCGGCATCCAGTCCAGGCAGTAGCGTACGCATGATTTTTTTCAAGGGGGGGGGGGGGGGGGGGGTTAACATTTTTTAATCGGGCCGAAAATTTCGCAACGACTCAGCCAGCCGCTGAAAAAGCGGGGGGGGGGGGGGGGTAAGAGGACATTTTGTTTACCCTTTTTGGACTTAGATACTTCAAGATATGCCCTTTCCATCCATTTAAACAAAATTTTACCTCACCACTGACCAAATTTGCAAAAATGCTAATATGTTTCTTTTTTTCTAGGTGTTTTAGTGATGAACTGATGTCAGCCTACAGCTTTCACTAGGAATGTGACAGAAGAATCAGAAGATACAGCATGTAGGAAAAAATAAAAAAACAGCCCTAAAACAATTTGATAAATTCATGAACTTGTACAAACTTCAAGAGCCAAATATCTGATCCAATGAGACAGTATGGAGGCAAATGAACAAGATGGCAGTGTTGATGATTTGCAGAGTGCACTAAGCAGTGCTGCGCAGAATGGACGACTTGACCTCATCCAAGAACTGATCAGTAGAGGAGCCGAGGTTAATAAAAGCGAAAATGATGGTAGGACCCCATTACATCTAGCTGCACAGTATGGTCATCTTGATGTCACCAAATATCTCATCAGTCAAAGGGCTGAAGTCAATAAGGGCAAAATTGATGGTTGGACTGCATTACATTCAGCTGCTTTTGAGGGACATCTAGATGTCGTCAAAGAATTGATCAGCCAACGAGCTGAGGTGAATAAAGTTGAAAATGTCGCTAGAACTGCATTACATCTAGCTTCACAGAATGGTCATCTAGATGTCGTCAAAGAATTGATCAGTCAACAAGCTGAGGTTAATAAAGTTGACAATGACTGTTTGACCCCATTAAGTTTGGCAGCACACAGCGGTCATCCTGACGTCACCAAATATCTCATCAGTCAAGGAGCTGAAATCAATAAGGGCATCATTGATGTTTGGACTGCATTACATTTAGCTGCTTTTGAAGGACATCTAGATGTCGTCAAAGAATTGATCGGTCAAGGAGCTGAGGTGAATAAAGTTGAAAATGACGCTAGGACTGCATTACAACTAGCTTCACAGAATGGTCATCTAGACGTCGTCAAAGAATTGATCAGTCAACATGCTGAGGTGAATTAAGTTGACAATGACGGTTTGACCCCATTACATTTGGCAGCACACAATGGTTATCCTGACCTCACCAAATATCTCATCAGTAAAGGAGCCGAGGTGAAAAACAGCGGAAATGAGGGCTTGCCCCCATTTGATCTAGCTGCACAGGAAGGTCATCGTGATATAACAAAATATCTGATCAGTCAAGGAGCTGAAGTCAATAAAGGAAAAATTAATGGTTGGACTGCATTACATTTAGCTGCTTTTGAAGGACATCTAGATGTCGTCAAAGAATTGATCGGTCAAGGAGCTGAGGTGAATAAATTCGAAAATGTCGCTAGGACTGCATTACATCTAGCTTCACAGAATGGTCATCTAGATGTCGTCAAAGAATTGATCGGTCAAGGAGCTGAGGTGAATAAATTCGAAAATGTCGCTAGGACTGCATTACATCTAGCTTCACAGAATGGTCATCTAGATGTCGTCAAAGAATTGATCAGTCAACAAGCTGAGGTGAATAAAGTTGACAATGACTGTTTGACCCCATTACATTTGGCAGCACACAACGGTCATCATGACGTCACCAAATATCTCATCAGTCAAGGAGCTGAAATCAATAAGGGCAACATTGATGTTTGGACTGCATTACATTTAGCTGCTTTTGAAGGACATCTAGATGTCGTCAAAGAATTGATCGGTCAAGGAGCTGAGGTGAATAAAGTTGAAAATGTCGCTAGGACTGCATTATATCTAGCTTCACAGAATGGTCATCTAGATGTCATCAAAGAATTGATCAGTCAACAAGCTGAGGTGAATAAAGTTGACAATGACGGTGTGACCCCATTATATCTAGCTGCACAGAAAGTTCAACGTGAGATAACAACATATCTGATTAGTCAAGGAGCTGAAGTCAATAAAGACAAAATAGATGGTTGGACTTCATTACATTCAGCTGCTATAAACGGACATCTAGATGTCGTCAAAGAATTGATCAGTCAACAAGCTGAGGTGAATAAAGTCGACAATGACGGTTTGACCCCATTACATTTGGCAGCACGCAATGGTCATCCTGACGTCACCAGATATCTCATTAATCAGGGAGCCAAGGTGAATATCAGCGGAAAGTACGATTTGATCCCATTACATTTCGCAGCACATAATGCTCATCTTGATGTCATCAAATATCTGATCAATCAAGGAGCTGATATTGATAAGGCTAGTGACAAAGGATGGTCAGCCTTATACCTTGCCGCAGCTGCTGGTCATGTTCGTGTTTCAAATATTTTGCTTTCAAGTCAGCAAGCTGAGTTGTCCAAAGCAAATATAATTCATTGGACAGAGTTTCATACCGCTGTAGAGAGAGGCGATTTTGATGCCATCAAAGATCAAGTCAGTCAAGGAGCCGAGGTGAATAAAGCCGGTTCTTTTGGTTGGACAGCTTTACACATTGCAGCAAGTAATGGCCATCTTGATATGACAAAATATTTGCTTAGTCAAGGAGCTGATGTGAATTCTAGCAATGCCTTTGGTAGGTGTGCTTTGCATAATGCTGCAACGAAAGGGAACTTGGATGTCATGGCATATCTTATAAGTAAAGGGGCCAATATGAATAAAGAAAACATCTCTGGAATGACTGCCCTACATAGTGCATCAGAGTCTGGCCATTTGGATATTGTCAAATACTTAATCGATCATGGAGTTAAGGCAGATCATTGTGACGCATTTGGCATCACTGCTCTCCATTCTGCTTTATATGCTGGTGAGATCGACATTACAAAGTATCTGCTTAGCAAAGGCTCTGAACTGAATAAAAGAAGCGTGCGTGACTCTGTCATCTTACAGTTTGATGGACAGTATGGTCACTATGATGTTGAGCGATGTGTGCAGAGTCAGTTAGGTCATGCTGCTAGCAAACTTGTTGATTCTCTCACTGTCTTTAGAGGTGCTCCAGAAAGTGATCTTGGTAGAGGCAAATACCAAGATGGTGAAGAGTATACGAAAGTTCAAGGTGGAATGGTTATTATGCATATGCTACTAATATTGTCTGATCTTGACATTCAAGATGATCTTGAAATTAGTCGAGAAGGCAAAACAGTTACTCGCACATCATTACAATTTGCTATAGGAGGTGGCCGTCTTGCAGTTGTTCGGTATCTGATCAGTCAAGGAGCTGATGTGAACGAAAGCAACAATGTTGGCTGGACTGCTCTTCACTTTGCTGCGCAAAGGGGTCATCTTGGTATTGTAGATTATGTACTTGGAAAAGGAGCTAAAGTAACCAAAGGAGACGTTGATGATATCTCGCCTTTGCATGTTGCTGCATTTGTTGGCCATTGTGACGTTACCGAGCATTTGCTTAGGCGAGGAGCAAAGATCAACGGAGCCACCAAGGAGAAAGGTTCTACAGCCCTACATGTCGGAGTGCAGAATGGTCATCTCGATATCGCGAAAGGCTTGCTCAACCACGGAGCCGAAATTGATGCGACAGACAATGACGGTTGGACTCCCTTGCACATCGCTGCTCAGAACGGTCACATCGATATCATATCGTGTCTATTTCAGCAACATGCAGATGTTAGCAAGGTCACCAAGAAGGGATCATCTGCATTGCATTTGTCTGCCGCAAATGGACATACCGATGTCACAAGATACCTATTGGATCACGGAGCCGAAGTAAATCTGAGTAAACCTGGAAATACTGCGTTGCAACTCGCAGCAGAACAAGACCAAGTACATGGGACAAGTACAGATACGTGGTGTGATGAAGGGCAGAAACACCATTCTTCCCCGCATGGTCATGCAGACACTGAGGGTTTAACAGAAGATAAGAAGAAGGTATTTAATTTAGTATTCCTATATATTTCATATGAACAAATATCATATTGTTTATCAAAATTCTTGCAAGTATTAAAATCATATCAATAGAGATTGAAACGGGTTAGCCTTTTTAGCCTTAATAATCCCGTTTAAAATTTCTTGTGAAGGTATATAGATTGTCTGAATTATGAAAAAGGGTGAAATGATTCCACAAGGACTTCTCAAAACCTATCTTGTAACAGTATATATATACATGTAAGTCAAATCTGTCTTAGTGGCCACCTGTCTATCGTTTATTTTGCCTCCCTCGAGAAAGAAATGTGTGTTTGAGAACCTGTCTACAAACGCTACCTGTCAACAGTGACCACTTTTTTGTTTCCATTGGTGACCTTAACAGACAGTTTTGATTTTATGATATTTGTTTAAATGTTAATATCTGTATATATGTAAGTCTATTTAGTGATGAAAGATATGAAAAACTAGAAAAGAAACTGCTTTATAAAAAGCTGTTTTGTTTGTAGATTCTTAATTTTTGAGGCTGGCGTTTTACATAGGTTCTTAGACAACATGCTGAAAAAGGCTGCACAGCAGTTCATTTAGCCACGCAAAATGGCTACACCTCCATCATCGAGGCATTAGTTTCTCATCGCGCTGATCTCAACATCCAGTCCATCGACGGTCAGATTTGCCTTCATGAAGCCATCAGACTTTCCGGTCGGAAGGACAGAAAAGTCGAAGCAACACCAGCACTCCAAAATGTAAGATGATGAACTCTAGAACATCCCTGTGATTGTATGACGCTTGCTCCTGTGACAATTGATTTGTAGTAATTTCCTACAAAAACCGAATCGTTTACTAACAATTATGCAATTGGAATCATACCATTCACATATGACTTAGAATTGCCATTTACCAAATGAATGAGTCTCTAAAAGAAAATTACAAAAATGAGCACATTGCCATTCAAATACCGATGAGAATTTCCATCTCTTAGAGTAAAATGCAAAAATTATTTTAAAAAGGTTCTTATTTCTGAAAAATGAAATAGTATTCATAAGTTGGGAAATCACAGAGGATTCGTAATTCCGAAAAATTAAATAGTGTTAATTATTCAAAATATGACAAAGAATTCTGTATCACAGAATTGAAACATTTAAACAACGGACTTTATTTCATTTTCGGAATGAAAAACCTTTGGAGTAACGATATTTATTTAATTTTCAGAATTATAAACATAAGCGAACCATTAGAAAAACACAACAAATGTTCGAAGTTATGAATCTGTGGATAAATGTTCAGAAAAACGAGGGCCTCTCAAAGTTTAAACAATCGTTTATATTGATAATTGTTTTAGATCTCAGAAGAGTTCTATCAGAATGAATTGTCTCCAAAGAAGGTCCTGGTCTTCTATCTCTTAGACAACGGAGCAAAGCCGGACATCAAGGATAACCATGGCAAACTACCAGTCCACTATGCCAAGGATGAAATCATTCGCCAGATGATATTCTCAAGGTGGGGAAGCATTATATTAACATGGGCATTTGGAAATAAATATACAAATGGTGTCATATTTGAGTGGTGTGATTACTCGACTTGGAATACAAAAAGTCGTGTTTTTTTTAGATCCTATGCGTGGCATGTATGTCCTTGGGCAAGGCATGTTTATCTACAATGCCCTCTCCACCCAGGTAGTAAATGTGTACCTGCTAGGATGTAAACGCCAATGTGATTTGATTAGCATGCGCACACCCATAACAAGTGTGACTGGCAAAAAAGGCTCCCCAGGGAGTGGAGTGTGCACTGTAAATTGTAGAACCATTATAGAGTCCAGGGACTGGTAAATAATACTGTAAACAGTGTAGTCGAATATATACTGTAGCTGGTAAAGTGCCTTATAAAATACAGTTATTTAAAAAAAGAAAAAAAAGAAAAAAAGATTAACGTTGCTATCTTAAATTTGGATTTGGGTTTCCAGCCGAGTTATACATGTGAAATTAATTTATGCAAATAAAATACTGCAATTCCACCTGGGACAGATCTACCAACAATTGTTCAAATTGAATGTAACCAATACGAATACTAGTATACAAAAGTGATTCTCAATTGTTCAGTAATTTCATTGGGTAATTTGTTTAGGATTTTAGTCAGATACTTGTTGGCAAGTTGAAACATTAATTTTGAGGAATTCTGTTTCGAATTTTCTTGTTTATTTTCTTCAGATAGTTGAGTCTTTTATTTTCCAAAAATATGTGAAAAAAAGCATTGTAAAACTTAAAAAACCCGGTATATTCTATCGTACACAGGTGGAAGTATTCTTTCAAGAGGGCAAACAAAAAGTAGTTGTGAAGCACCTCCATTGCTTTCACAGTGATTATTCTTAAATGCAGGAAGTGGGATTTTGATCTCTTGGGTAAAAGATCTGTGGATATTTGATCGAATACCTTTTGCTTGCCCAAGTATATCCTGAAGGTTGTAACAATATGCTTACATCACTTTTTCTTTGTTTTCATTTGCATATGTTCTCAGGTCTCCTGCCATGGACATCATCAGAGCTTATCGAGGTAACAATCTCTGATAAATAAATAATAAAACATAGACTATCATAAACAAACAATTATAAATATTTGATTTATAAGGTTTTCAATTTTTTTATTGACATGGATATATTATGAAGACAAGAACCGAACAAGAAAGCTTTGGGGATTGCCAAATTTACTTTCAGAAGTTCAAGCTTCATAATTAAGAAAAAAAAATATTGACATGGTGATCAGTTCTATTCGTTAACTAAATGTCTATTCCAAAATGCCCAGGGTATGTTTATTTTGGAGCCACGTAAGAGAAGGTTGGGTTCCGGTGAAAGATAAAGTATAAGTTGTTAGCTTTCCCATGTTTTTGTTTGTTTTCTTTATGTTATTTGGGGGAACAGCAGTAGCTGAAATATCCCCTGAAAAGTATTGCTCTGCAAATTCCCTTATATTTGAAGTATGACGAGAAATACTTTAAAAGTTTGGACCAAACTTTTAAGCAACGTGTTTGAATTGTGCAGTTCCCTATACCCATACCCAGATAGAGTGACTTGCTTTTCATTTTGATCACTTCAAAACCTTCATTGATTCTTATGTAAAACATAGTCGACCTCTCCCCATTGCTTCTGAATAGTATCTTTCCATGGTAAGGTACTCAACTTTATCTTTAAACCCTTATCATTCTCACTCTCTCTTTGATTATTTTTTATTTGCAGCTGGAAGGTTGGCGTCACCAGTGGTCAACGCCGTCTCTGTTCAGGTTGGATGTGACGGTAAAGAGCTCGAACTGGAACACCATGGCATTGCAATGTCTATCCCAACTGGGGCTGTCGAACAGAATGAATCTTGCAATATCACTCTCACCCTTGTGAGGGACCTCTTAAGTGTTGACCTCCAAGATGACACACCAATGGCAGCATACGGGATCAGATGTGACCCTCCAAACTTGATCTTCCACCAGCCTGTTAAGATCATGATACCGCATTCCACCTTATTCATCAACCCTGAGCAAGTGATACCAGACATCGTCTCACATATTTGGGATACAAGAAAGGGTAGGTTATTTGGTTTATTAATGGTCTATTCTTTCAACGAATATTATTGAAGTCTTCTTTTATACAAAACTACAGTACTTCAAACCATTCTCTTCCTCATGGTTACACAAGGGATCCTGGTCTTTATACCAAGTCATTTTGGAACAATACCTAAGTAGAAATGTTACCTGAAAAGGATTGCTATTAAAATGCTTTCTTATTCAAAATATTGTAATAAATGGCTATAAAGTTTGGTCCAAACACTTGTGTTTAGTACCGTGTACACATTTTCTGTTTGTGGTGCATGTGATCTTATGAAAAACTGAGTCAATTTCTTTTCAGAAAATCAATGAAAAACGTCACAAGGCACATCAATATTTATTAACATCATAAACTACCTTTTCCAGTTGCTTTCACAATGTTATTGCATGACCAGTACTCAACTTTATCTTTAAAGTCATCACCCTTTCAAACGTGAATCTTTTTTCATAATAGGGCTATGCCTAGCTTAATTTTGCTCAAATGATTATTAAAGAATATTTGACATTGTGGATCTAATCATAGGTTTACCAAGAGTTTCGAGGACAAAATCTGCTGCACCTGACATATTGCCGTATTGCAAAATCTTGGAGAGACATCTTGAGTTGCACATCGATTACTGTGCCGAGTGGTGGATTCTTATCCCTCTTGAGCAACAGATCATCCAGCTCATGTGTACCCCATACGTACCGGACAAGATTAAACGAGGCAAAGAGTTTGATGTTCATCTCCATCTGAATGCCAATATCCCGGGCATAGAAATGGTCAGTTAGAAATACTTCGGTGCAACTTGGTTCACTTTTATTCTCTCTCACTCCCTTTAGATCTCTTCCCAGGGAGCATGCTCATATGTACCTTGGGTTCCAATATGGGTCCCACATAGGTCTGCCCATATAGACTCCATATACTATCTGGCACCTAACATTCGTATGGGACACATATGAGCCGTCCAAGGTGGCCCATATGGGTTCGTCCCAGGGCCAATCCGGTATGATGTACACTATCCCGTATGAGCATCAAAGGGCTGGGGTTCCCATATAGCCCCCTCTGTGGAATTCCCATATGGGCCCCATGTAAGTTTGTACTGAAGATTCATATGGGACCTATATGGGCAACCCCATTTTGCCCATATGATTATTCCTTCATCTTCTTGTAATTTTCAAAGCGCTATACAGCCTGTCACTAAGATCTGTATATTGCAGCATTTGCAAGCATACTAAAAACCGGATTTACACTCTACTCCTTGTAAGAGTACAAACTAGCTTGCATAGGGTGTGACTCTCCTACACACGGGCTTCCTGACTTGGGGATATAGCCTGGACTAATTATCAGCGGAGCAAATGTTGGCCCACCGTAATTATAGAAATGCGATACATCCGGTAAATACAATCATATAGATTGTAGATATTACATAATTTACATATCAATTTAATTCAATTTTAGATAAACAGATATATTTTCAGCTGTGTTTTGAATTGTTTTACAAAATCTAATTTCCTCAGATAAGAGGAAGTGAGTTCTAGAGAACGGGTGCAGCTTTGGCGAAAGATCTGTCGCCGTAGCTATATCCTTGACCTGAAATGGTTAATGAATGAGATACAGTCTGTGTTCTGTTCATTTTCTTTTAAATAGGAGGTACAAAAGGAGGAGAAGCAGAGTTCATACCACAATGCACATCGCTCCTTTCCGATCTCTATCGAAGCTAAATCCGGTGACATTTCAGTGACTTGTGATGGTGCAGGCAAGATGAGCAACATTAAGGTATGAAAACATGTGCCAATTAAGTGAAACCTGTATACAAAGCTGCATAGAAAGCCAACATGCCTATAAAGACCCTATGTGGTGTTCCCCTTTAAACTTAATTCCTATTGAAACCTGTCCTAAAGCAACCTGTCTGTAAAGACCATCTGCCATTGAAGACCACTTCTCTTGTCTCCTTTAACAGTTTTTTATGTACAGGTGTCACTGTATTAGGACCGTTCAAGCAGGGACATGCTAGAGATGTCCCTGGTTCAAGGGAGACAGAAACAGCAGGTGGCCTTTATTTACAGGATCCTTTAGTACACAATGACAAACGCTATTCAAGGGAAACAGATAATGTGGTTTTTAAGGACAGGTGGTCTTTCAATGTACAGTTGCTTGCTTAAGCAGGTTTCTTTCTATTCATTTCTTTTTCTTCCGCAGTAAAATGATAGAAATAATTGTCCCTTGAGAAGTCACTTTTTTAACACCTGTAACTTTGTAGCTTAAAGACACATGTTAATGTAAAACTCTGATTGTTCCCTTCCATATGAAACAACAACAACTAAAAATCGAAAAATGCTTGGTAACATTTGTTCCCCTTGACTGGCATTCAAAAAGCTTTTAAAATCTTTAATCGGCTCTTTTTCTTTCAAATTTCATTTAATAGCTAATTGCATGGAATAAAATACAGTCAAATCTGCCTTAAGCTACCTCTTGCATAGAAAGATCACTTGTCTATGAAGACCACATTTCCCTTGATTTGTGTTTGTCATCGAACCATGTATTATAGAAACCTGTACATAAAGACTGTCTACTCATAAAAACCACCTTTCTTACCTCCCCTGGGTGATATTTTATACAGATATTTCACTTTAATTGTTTGGTTGTATTTGTTTGCCCACAGCTACTTTCTTTGAAGGATATCCACAGCCAGATGAGACACAGCATATTGCTATCAATGACCCCAGGCGAGGATGCTGCAGAATTCTCAGTCATTTACGTGACGATTTCACAGGCTGGAAGACTAGGCACGAGGTCTCAATCGTTGGCGTTCGTCATCAGATACACAGGTTGGTGGAAAAAAATTCCTCATGATAGAGCTTGATGAAATTCATGATGATTATTTCATTTTCTAACATGTAGACTCATGTGACAGTAGTATTTGGTAATATTATTGCAGGGCCCGAAGCGAGAGAGAGAGAGAGAGCAGTATTAATGCTAATGTGGCTACATTGGGTAAACAAGACATATTATTATCATCAGTATTATTATCGTTGTTATATTTGTTAATGTTATTATTATTAAAAGGAAAATCTATCCCCGATTTCAACTTTTCTCTTTTTTTAAATGATAAATTACTTTTATTGCAGATGACTCGACATGCCAAGTATCTACTGAGCCCTCTTCATTTATTCGGTAAGCTCTCTTTTTAATGATGCTGTTGTCAGAAATGTTTGATTCAAGGATTCACTTTCTTTTTGGTACTTTGATATTTGATATACATGATACTTCTCAAGAAAATGACTACAACCATTCATACCTAATATCATTCATTGCACTTCATCGACACTATACATCTCTTCACATTATGAAATGAAATATGAAATGTCAACACAGAGAAATGAAAGATTTAGACAGGATCAACCATTTATATATGAGCAAAGTCTATTCCTATTTTGAAAAGAAAATTTAATTCAACCCTCCACCCCCCCCCCCCCCAAAGTATGTGTTACTGCAGTGAAACCTAATATGTATAAAGACTGTTCAAGGGAGAAAAGAAAAGCGGTCTTTAGAGGCAGATTGTCTTTACACACGGGACTCAATAGGAAACAATAGGGGCACATAGTATACGATCTTCATAGTCTCTCTGTACAGGTGTTTCCAAATCAGATTTGACTGTATATTTTTTCAGGGCTGTGGAAGAGCTCTCCGGCAGTGACCTTCCAGACATTGATGTCATCACGATAGCTCAGATGATGACGGTGGACCATTACTATGATTTGGGAGTGGCTCTTGGTTTCACCATACAAAAGTTGGACGTCATAGAGTACAGGAGGTTCCGTGACAGACAGCAGGCCATCTATGACATGCTGGTCACATGGAGAAAGAGACAAACCTCCGGCCGAGAAGCAAAGGACACGCTTCTCTCGCTCATGAAATCTTTGGACACGCCAGCCATACAGACAGAGATATCAGGTTAGTTGAATGCGTGTAACCCCTTGGTTGAATGGCACTTGCTCTTGCAACAATCGTTCTGCGGTAATTTCCTAAAATTGAATAATTGCCTTCAACCCTGCACCACACTATGCCTAGTACTAACCCTAACCCTAAACCTATCCTTAAAACCTATCCTAAATCCCAGTTACAACCCTAAACCTGACCTTAATCCGCACCCCTTAGTTTTGAAAAAATATAAACTGGAGCAATTGTTACAGGAGAATTTCACTCACCGCCAGGTTTATAGTGTTAGTATTAAAACTAATTATTTTTTGATTTTCGAAAAGTGTATAAAGATGTTGTGGTTATTTTCATCCACATTCTGACTGTTTTTTGCTATTGTTCACGTTTCCTCTCTTGGCTGATCATAGTACATGGTAGGACACCCGCAAGAAAGAAGGTATCTATTGTCAATGGCATTAACGACCTGCATGCAGGCATCCCACGATTTCCATGGTCTACCTGTGTTTCGTTCCTATGAGGAATTCGGCCATTCTGTTTAATGTGAAAAAAGGAGGGAGAAGCCGTTTGTCAGAAAAGAGGAAATAGATAATATTTCCACAAAAAAAATCGAAGTAAGGCCTGGTCGAACCTAACAAGTAATGCTCTGCATATGTACACCTATGGCCCGTCTTATATGGCCCGTCTTATAAAGAGTTGATATTAATCGGAACTAAGTACATAAAAGATGGGGATTGCGCACTTGAGATTGATTAGAGGACTTGCGATTGATCCATATATATTGCATTCGCAACTCTTTTTTAGACGGAGCCCTGAATAATAAAATAGCTGGGATTCTGTAAATAAATCAGTAGGGGCACTGCCCGCATATTATCTTCTGAATCGGGAACTATTTATGATTATAGTTTTATCGTTAAAGGTAATGTCTGATTAGGTCTTCATGTAAGGGCGATTATCAAAGGTTCAGGTAGAGGGGAGTTTTTCTAAATTTGTTTTAATCTTTCCTTCCTATTTATTTTTTTGGAGTTATTCTCAATTTTTTATAATTTTGTGTTGTTTTTCTCCTTCCCCGGCCATTTGTCGTCATTATCAAAAACGTCTGCCACTTGATCGACATGTATCACAACCAGCTACAACTAGGTACGTATATTCATACGATGGAGAGCCCTGTGTCTATATTCATAGCTATTTGACTTCAGATTCAACAAGGAATATTGTGTTACTGACCAGGGGCGGATCTAGCTTTTTGCTAAGGGGGGGGGGGGGTTGACCAATAATGACGATGCGGAGCATCGTCCACGAGCCGCGAAGCGGCGAGCCGATTTTTTTTTGGGGGTGTTTATTTCAACCCCGTAAGTGATGTTTTCCTGGCATCTATTAACACAATGGAGACCATAAAAAGCAGTGCATGATAACGTCTTTTAAAATCAAGTAACAGTTAAATACACAGTTATATCCAGAGTCATGTGTTTGGTTAAGTTACCAGATGAGTTGAATATCTTCTCACAATATTTGCACTTGAAAGGGTTTCTCTCGAGCGTGCGTTCTTTTTTCTTTCTTTTTTTCTCTTTTTTTTTTTTTTTTTTTTTTTTTTTTTTTTTTTTTTTTTTTTTGGGCCGCCCAAGGGGGGGGGGGGGGGTTTAAACCCCCTAAACCCCCCGTAGATCAGCGCCTGCTGACGTGGTCACTCTTGGGTCATTCTTGGTATTCTTGACATTCCCATCAAACTTTGAAGAAGAACAATTTCATTCCACAAGAATAGATTGCCTTATCACTCTAATTATCGGAAAAAACAGATGTATCCTATGCGAACATGCATATATAGTGTAATTTATTAGATTACAGACATGGA